CCACACCTTTAACGAAACCATTGAATGTCTGAGACAGCAGCGTTATTTATGACTCGTCGCTTCCATTTAATATTAGAATTTATTCCGGGAATATGGATAGACATGAATGGAGCGACGGTCTTTCGATGAGAACTTTTTATTTTATTTAAAGAATATTTTACTAGAAACAAATCAGGTATCGCCCTAGATTAGATACAAAGATTTAAAGTCTTAGTCTCTTTAGATATAAAGATCCAGTAATACAATGCTAACAAAAAAGAATTAAAAGAACTTTTTTGTTGCAGTGATATTTTTAATTTAGCATAACTGAATTCTAAACATGTACCCCCTTTTAGTTTTATGTAGAGTTATTGGAGGAAGGGACCATCAAATTTCGCAATTGGGCAAATACTAAATACACTAGGGTATCATCTTTTAATAGTATTAATTCTTTATGCAATATAATCTTTGACTAATATAACACTGGATAATGATAGTGACAAGTCGTTTGACTAAAGGTAGGTCAAAATAAAAAGGATACCTATAGAAGAAAATAAAAAAATAGTTTTTAATAAAAACACAAACTCACAAAGACACAATTTCGTACCCAAATGGTGATAATTAAACAATGTTCGAAGTCTTCGCTGTCCATCAGCGTACTATAAGTGTTATGTTAATTTTATCAGGGAAATGGTATATTTCTTTTACAACTATGTCTATCAACTTAAAATGAAATTAAAAAAAGACAATAACTTTGGGTTCCTATAATTTGCTCCACCCTAAAGAGATTTACAATTGGTTTCAAATATGTATCTACAGACACGAGGAGGTCCTCGTGTCTGTAGATACATATTTGAAAACGGAGGTCCGTTGCATGTCAGCGGTCACACTCATACTTCGTTTTATTGTGAGGATGATTGCGATAGCTTAATTAAATTTTATCTTTCATTGGCTTCATTTTGTTAGTTTTAATGTGATAAATTCAGCCACCTGATCTTACATCTGATCAGAATCGATGTCATAAGCATTTAGTTTTGTTTGTAGACTGGGTAATTTTTCAATATTAAGGAAGGAAAGCATGAAATTATTTCATTATTCTCAAAAATGAAGATTAGATTCTATTTAAAAGGTTTTGTTACATTAATATTCCAGTCTACGATTATTATTCATACATTCTCCAATCCTTTTTTCTATATAAAAAAAATGGTATATCTTTTATTTCTGTTTCGATAACCACTAGTAAATAAACCAAAGGTGCACAGTAATTGAATATTGAATACACAATGCTAGGACGGCGCAATAGGGCTAAGACAATGGTTTGTATCTCTGTTATCATTCATTGTAAAATGTTTTTTTTCTGGCGGTCTTAATAACCGCGTGGGCGTGGACACAGACGACACATGCGATTAAATTTATATTCTTATCATGACAAAGACTTCTTCGTCAATGTTATGTACCGTGGAGATATCGTACCTATTATCAAAAACTAAGTACACTTGTTATGCTTTGTGGTTTCAAACGAGCCCTGTTATTGCTATCATAGGAATAACCTAAAGTTACTGTTCACCACCGAGAAACAAAAATTAGTATAATTTCAAATTTATTATTAGTACTATATTTACGGAGCAAAAATAACACTCTTTTGTTAAATAATTTAAACATAAGATAAATAAATCTGTAATATAGTAAGAGTTCTTATTAAGTACCTCTTACCCACTATGTAGTGTTTTTAGTATTTTAGATTATGGTTAAACCAAGATGTGCATTCATAATTAAACAAAAGTTATATGGACAGGTTGCTATAACATCACATTCATTAAAAAAACATTCAAGCGGAAGTTTTAGACATTTCAGTAGTAACAAAATTTTATTTGTTACTCATGAAATTTTCATCATGTTTTCATTGAGATGAAAATAATGGAAAAAGTATTAACATTTTGTGTTGTTGCTTTGTCTATTTACTCAATTTTCATCAAAAACAATTAGGTCGTATTTTATTGTGTCTACTAATTACAACATTTAGTTACCTCCTCGAGTCGGTCCGCTATTGGTAAGAGTTGTTTGGCAACGATATGGAGTTGTTCTGGCTGGACGCTGGATACGTGTTTAGAGGCGCGCGGGCCGCAGGAAACGATCTCTCATTACGGTTTTTTTGTACTATGTTCGTTGCCCTTAAAGCTTCTCGACGAGACGAAACAAAACTACCAATGGCTATAGATATTACAATGTAAAATTATGATTATGTCCTGATAACTTGATTTTTTTTTCTCAGATATTCGATTCTATTTTCAGACTAGATTATGCAAAAAATACTTTGATGATGATGATTCATCAACTGATTTTTAATTCGGATATAATATATTTCCTCGGGTATCTATGGCTTTTATAATTAATATATTTTGTAATTTCGATTTTAAAGTACTAAATGCACGATTCCATCGAATATGGTATATATTATACACGAATAACAACACACGAACTCGAACACGAATAAACAATTATGCATATCCTTATGCATGATTGTTTATTCGTACTTATAACACTTAAATTAAAAATAAATAATATTTTTCAAATTCTAGGTACGGGCACAAAGTAATTACCGCGGGCACCCAAGCTACTGGACTAATTTGGCTATTATTTTTAAATGTTCCGAATAGTCTGAATGAGGTTTTTAGACAAATAAAAATTGGAAAGTTGCCCAGAAAATTTAGAAAATCTGTAAAGGAATAAGTAGTTTTATATGTATTTGAAATTATATGATTTTCATACACAGTATAGGTAAGTTGTATTGCAAATTTTATCAATAACAATATCCACACCTATAATCCGTTTATAGATATATTGATCACTCAGAAAACATCAGGGACTATTGTATTTTTTTCTTTTATTTTTGCTCTTCATTATCTTATTTACTTATATACTATCTATAAATTAGGAGTGCTTTTTCCAAGAGGTTGTATTAATTAAACGTATTTCATTATATCCGTCCGGCGGTTGTCAATTTCATCAAGTCAAGTGCAGCATCAAGATTGTGGTTCGATTGTTTTCGAATTTCTCCTTTTCCGGTAACTTGTATTAGCTCTAGCTGTCTAGCTTATCTAATATATATATATATATATAAATATTGATATTCCAAACAGCGGTGATGAATATGCATTTTTATTTGTAAAACCCATAATTTTCGCATTGAAATCATGCCAGCATGGGCATGGCAATTTAATTGCAAAAAGAATAAAATAAGTACTTTTTTATAGCATTCTTTGAATCAATAAATTCCAAAGCTGTTATTTTTTATGGTTTTCCACGATAATAGCTAAAAGCCTTTCTAGATATTTTATAAATAGAAATCATTATTTTTTTCTAGGAATGGTAAGGTGCTTCGATTTACTCCATAACAATACCCAATTTCTTCAAAGAGAGATATTTGATCCAAATAAAGGAGGCGTTTAAGAATAAGAAAATAATTAGTTATTACACAAAATTATATCACTTGTCTTCAATAGTTAGAAATCATTACTTAGTTTCAGTCTGTAAATATATTTAGTTAATGTCATGTAATTATCAATAACGAAGACTCATTAATTAATATTTATATAAGTGTATATTATGTTATTTGAGCAATTTTAATTAGAAATTTGCAAATTTGAAATGCTGGCTGAGCCCCAATCATAAATTGTTTATAAGAAAAAAGCTATTTATTTTATATCGGTATGTTTACAAAATGGCACTGTTTCATTAATTATCAGCGTGATACCGCAGGTTTAAAAACTATTGCTTGAACTATATGTAAGACTTTGAGTCATCGTTTTCTACACCTAACTGTTTAGACAACTGTGCTCGTATGATTATAGGTTAAAACACAAAACATTCGTCGAGCCGCTACCCACCGACTAGGCGGTCGTTGACGCTCATTATATATATATTTTTTAAAATTGAGTTGTATCCAAATCTGTTGGCCTTTCTTCGGTGTAGTTGCCATTGTAGGTACACGTTGCGACTTGTCCAATATGTGTCACACATTTTAAAGCATTGTTTTATTCTTGGAACCGTAAATAATATGAATTGTCTTTCTCCGAAGTAATCTACTCTGCAAAATGGCTTCACTAACCGCTGGGTGTGATGACGGTTCAAAGTTCCTATTTCAGATTTAATTTAATAAACATATTGTCATTTGACCGCAAAAATGTGGCACACTCGCAGTCACCATTAATCGTGTATTTATGTATGAACTAGTCGTCAAAATCGTGAGTGCGTTCGTTCGCACAGTCACCACAAATAGCACAGTCTGGCCGGTGGCGCGTGGTTTACTTGTGCTTTTAGCTTCAATGCTTTTGCAACAACTCCAAATGTATCACAACGACCGACAACTTAATTCCAATCAGTGCATATTAACACTGCTTTAGGAAATCCTAAGCATTTCATTGAATGTTTTTAAACAAAGGGATCATTTGTCCTTGCATTTACATGTATGTAAATATATTATATATTTAGTTTGTCGTGATAATTGTATATGGTAATCTATGTTTGCACAATACATGACATTTAACTTGAAGAGATAACATCAACACTTGTTGATTTCCCGGACAGACGGCGCAGGTTTACGGGCCGCATCTATCGGCATCCCCCCATGCCGCGTGAGGGTCTCAGGTAGTTTCTTTGTTTACATTTTTTTTACAGAATGCCTAGTGTTTTGCTAGCTGGTGACACCGAAAAATAAGTTTGTAGATCTTGCTTCTGCGGTCGTAGTTTGTTTATGAATTATATCTCAAATCATTTAAATGTTGTACAACATTGTATCAGTATAAACTTAACATTTCCTTTGTTAATACATGTACGTAACAATACATAAAAAAACTGCAAAATATTTAAAACTTTCTAACTTTATTGAAACTAACTGTAAGAAGTTGATTGTTCGTTTTATCAAGTCCCATAAATATAATAAAAGTCAGCGTTCTGATCTGGCAACACACGTTTACTTTTGATTGTAATACATATAATAATTAAGTTGAATACATAGGTACCTGATTCGATGGCAGCGTGCAGTTAATCATCATCCAGAATGGGTGTGCAGCCGGTGTGCACTCGCAACCTTCGACATTGCAGATGCCATAGTTATGTTCGGCCAGAGTTAGAGAGCACGATGCTAACAACACCAGAAACGCGGAGCGCGTCATGGTGGCGCTCAGATGAGCGAGCGCTCCACGAGAGGCTCATGCACAGACTGAGTGAACAGTGAATGAGGATAGCGGATGGCGCGGCGCGTAGGTCGGCCGCGTCTCTGCCCGCCCGCCGCTCACGCTCGCTCGCTGCTAGCCGCTAGCCGACGATACACACAAATAGTGATGGGTAATGGAAAAATTGCGTTAAAAGAAAAGAAAAATAATAAAAAGATTTCCATTCGTTTTCAAATAGGTACTTTTCTGTAATTTTTCCTATTGTTCAAAATTCATTATGCTTAGGAAAAAAAGATAATTATACTGAAATTTAATCAACATACACACATCAAAAAAAGTTTGAGATCACTTGCAAAACCTGATATATTTTCAAAATTTAACTTAATCAAGAGAAAATGTTTACGTTATATCTTTTTAAATTTAAAAAAAACTTTCTGAAATTTAAATATTTTTTTTTATTTTTTAGTATAAAAAATTTAATAATTCAATCCTAAGGCGATTGTAATAAAACTTTGATAGAAATAAAAAGATAGTTTAACCAAACTTAAAACCTTTTATTAATAAATAATTGTTTATCTAATACAAAATAACTCCTCCTCTGGCTCGAACACATCCTCCTGGGCATGCTAAGGATCAAATTATCCAGCATTTCTTGTGGTAACCTGTCCCATTCTTGAACAGCAGCTTTCCTGAGCTGCGACACTTTCTGTTCGCTGCCGGTTTCAAACAGCTCGCTTAAGAGCATCCCATGCGTGCTCTATTGGGTTTAAGTCAGGAGAGCCGGCAGGCCAGTCTAACCTTGTGATTTCGTATTCTCGGAGAGCAGCATTGACTTGTTGAGCTCGATGTGCGGGCGTATTATCGTCAACCAGTACAAATTGGTGCCCATGGTTTACTCGTAAAGGTCTGACGATTCCATCAATAGCGACTGTTTTGTTTCATTCATGACGGCAGACGGATGCGTCTGCCGTCATGAATCCTTGCTAAGGGATTAAAGGCGTTCTAGCCCCAATCAAAATACCACCCCAAAAGGACACTTATTTCCCGCCTTGCTGAACCGTTGCAGTGGCTGTTCTTTGTCTTTCGGAGTCTCCAGGTCTTCTCCAAACACGGACACGTCGGCTATCTGGATGAGTGCTGATTCGCGATTCGTCAACGAAGAGGCAGTTTTGCCAAATGTTTGCCTTTCCGTCTTCTTCGTTTTGCCGGAGCCTAGCCCACTGTAATCTCCGTCGCTGACTTTTCCGTGAATTCAAAGGTGCTCACCAAGACCTCCGTGATCGTTATCCAGCCTTGTGTAAGCAATTCCGAATGGTCTGAGTGCTAACTTCAAGTCCGTAGGCGGCCCGTATTTCTGCTTTTAATTTAGTGGCGTTCATTGTGGGGTCGCGGGCTACCAGCAACCTGATGTAGCGCTTCTGAGCAGCTGTCAAAACAGTTGGGCAACCGCTGCGGGGTCGATCAGCTAAATAACCCATGCCGTGGTATCTCTGCAACGTGGTTACTACACAGGATTGGGATATAGCAACTCTGCGTGCTATTTCTCTCGTAGAATAGCCAGCTTCGTAGAATTTACGAGCCAGAATTTTAACTTTGAGGTTCTTCCCTCAAAGTTAAAATTCCGGCTCGGGAAATATCTGATAATCCTCGTGACATTTTTAAGTCACAAACTATCCGTGAAAAAATATTTTAAAGTCATATTGACTAAATCAGATTTCTGAATCAGTGTCAGCTTGGATTGCATGTCTTTTTATATGGAAAAACAATTGAATTATTTTATAGTTTTACGTTTTAATTTTAAACTTTTTCTGTCAGTATATCGAAATAAACAGTATTAATTCAAAACTCCTATACACTATGATATATTTGGCCCTTATTTTTTATTTTAACAAATCACTGAAGGCCTAAAATAAAATATTTTATTTTGCTAATCAGGCTTGAGAGAAGGCTCTATGATAATTAATGCTTTGATTTTTGCAAATGAACAAAATAAAACTTCACAGAGTGCATGTCAGGCCGACGAAAACAAATTATTGTATTTATTTTTACTTTTAAAAATACTTTTTGTGAAGTTTAATCAAATAAATGGAAGGAAATATTTTAAGAAATTGCGAAATTGATGGCTGGTTAAATAATTGGCAACATCTTTTATCAAATGTAGCAAGGTAATGACGTTGTAGATCTCATAATTTTCAAGATTATGACTTTATCAAAAGTTCCTGAGCCCTTTTTCATAGAAATCATAAATATTCAGACAGTCTGCATTATATATTACTATATACATTATATAGTACAATATTTGTACATTGCTAGGGCAGTCGCTCATACAATATTTTACCATGTCCTTTAAAGGAAATACACACGCCAGTGTAGGTATTTATTTTTGTTTAGGCTGATGTTGAGGATACAGCACTATCGTTTCGACCTCATTAACATGTTTTCCTTTGAAAGCATCTACAAGTTTTAAAATATTACGCAAGTTTCTCATGCACGGTGGTACATATTGTAAATCCTCCATAAGTAAATTAGCAAAATCATAATTTCTTTCTGAAGGTTTCCTTGTTTGTCGACACAATCAGATCAAAATCGTTTGTCTCGCGCTCTTTTATAGCTGATTCATTTTGATTGGTGTCTTCTTCTTCTGAGCTTAACTGATCTTTGGGTTCATAGATTGGTGAATTATGCATATATGAATGATGATGATGCAGACGCTTCTCCAGACTTATTTTTTTCTTCACTTTTGACTTCACATGCCTCTGTCTGGAAACAATCTGGATATGATTTTCCTTTTTTTCGTTAAAAAGTTACAATATTCCTATTTATTATACGAGAGCGGAATGATAAGTAACTAGCGTCTGCTATTTAAATAGTTAAAATTTTAAAAATATATATGTCATTTTAATTCGTATCTCTGGCCACCTGTGTTCTAAATTTGAATTTGGTGGCGTGAAAATTTTATTGATTTTTTGTCATTTGAAAATATATTTCGTCAACTGTTTTCAAAATGGATAAAATTGAACAAAGAGCGGTGATAAAGTTTCTTCATATGAAGGGCATGAAGGGGAAAGATATCTATGACGAGTTAAATAATGTTTTGGGTGAATGTGCTCCTTCTTATGCCACAGTAAAAAACTGGGTGGCTGAGTTTAAACGCGGTCGTACATGTATCCAAGAAGAAGCCCACCCTGGACGTCCAAAAAGCGTCACGTCTCCGGAAATGGTAGTGAAAGTACATGATATGGTTTTAGAAGATCGACGATTGAAGTAATCTGAAATAGCTAACACTACAGGTATCTCAAAAGAACGGGTACATCATATCCTAAGTGAGGAAATTAATATGAAAAAGTAATCGGCCCGTTGGGTGCCGCCGCGATTGCTTACGCACGATCAAAAAACTGCAAAACTCAAAAGAATGTCTGGACCGTTTTCAGAGTAATAAGGCCGATTTTAAACGTTGATTTGTAACAACAGATGAAAAATGAGTTGATTATTACACGCCAGAATCAAAAATTCAATCAAAACCCTGTTTTCAGGATGCCCGGCACCAAAAAAAGCCATGGCTGTAAAGTTTGCTGGAAAAGTGATGGCTTCCGTATTTTGGGATGCAGATGGGATCTTGATGATAGATTACCTTCCTAAAGGTCAAACAAATAATGAAGAATACTACGCTAATGTTTTAGATAAGCTTCATCAATGTATTTAGCAAAAACGACCAGGATTGGCCAAAAAAGTAATTTTCTTCCACCAAGACAACGCTAGGGTTCACACATGTGTTAAAGCTATGGCAAAAATCAATGAATTGAAGTACGATTTCCTGCCCTACCTACCTTATTCGCCTGATAAGCGCCATCAGACTTCCACTTATTCCCTGAGCTCAAAAAACTTTTGGGCGGACAGAAATTTGCCACTAATTCTGAAACACAAGCTTGCCGTTCCATGTTTGGGTTGTAGTATTGCATTGTTTAATAAAATTCCTCAAGATTTAATTGAGCTTCCACTGACCAGTTTTGAGAAACTAAAAAACTAACTTCTATCAAAAAAATATTTGTATTAAATCTTTTCAAAGAACTGTCCACCAGCCTCTATACAAAGTTTCATGCGTCTGAACCAATTTTCAAAACATTTTTTCCAGTCTATTGTTTTAAACTTTCATGGTCACTCATTATAGTAATATACGGGATTGTTACCATGTAAAGTTACCAAAACAAGGTACAGGGTAACAATCCCGTAAAAATACTTATATTTTTTCTAGTCCTCCGCAGACTCGACGGCCTTCTCATACGCTGCTAGCGCTTCTTCCGGCGATGAAAACTGTATCCCTTTGAGCTTATTTTTTATTTTAGGGAATAAAAAGAAGTCACACGAAGTCAAACCAGGACTGTAAGGAGGGTATCCCAAGACTCTGACTGGTGTGAAGTCCAGTAAGTCCTTCCTTTTGATCGCAGGGTGTGCGGGCGCGTCGTCGTGGTGAAGAAGGACCCCTCGGAGCCCGGTGTTAGGTCGCTTATGCTCATTGCAAAAAAGTTTCTGGCAGGCATTTTGTGCTATCGTCAAAGTGAAGAAACTAGCGATCAAAATTTTCCCTGCGCTCCTCGATCGCTTCACTTTCGTAGGCGTTCGTTTCTTTTTGGAACAGCCAAACTGTCAGCTGACGCTTTGTTTCTGGATCGTAATGATAAATCCAGGATTCGCCACCTATCACAATATCGTAAACGTGCCGTGACGAGCCTGCATCAAATTTTTGTATCGTATCACTGCACCAATCCACACAGGCCTGCTTCTGAGCTTCGGTGAGGTTGTGCGGCACGTAGCGGGAAACTATCCTCCTTACGCAAAATCTTGTGAACACTTCCTGAACCAATCTGCAGTATGCTGAATCTCTTCGTACGTAATTCGTCTGTTTTCTTGAATTATTATTTTTACTGCCAGCACACTATCTTCGGTGACAGCCGTCGTAAGACGACCACTCCTTTGTTCATCCCCCAAAGTAAGACAACCGCGTTTGAACTCGCTACACCAGCGGTAGATGGTTGCTTTTAAAGGTCTTTCAGCCATAAAAGCAGTTCGAAATCGATTAAATGACTCGTCAGGTTTTAAGCCACATTTAAAATATTAAAAAATCATAGTACGAAAATGTTCTCGACGCAAATCCATATTTTAATGAGACAAGAAAAATTTAGTTGGCTCTCGAAAAAATGCGGAGGGAAATTTAAAAATCGAACAGTGGTATTTTTACTTTTAAATAATTAAAGTTTTCAGAAAAATTACAAGTGGCCAGTATCTTATACATTAATTTTTACGCAAAATTTTCTGAGTGGCCTCGTAAGGTACCCATCTAAAGCCGCTTCCTACATACTAAAAAAGGTAACTATAAAATTTATTGTTACTATAT